TAAGTAGAGCAAAAATTTAATTTTAAAAAAATCTTTACACGCGTGCAATGCGCGAAATCATATGAGGTCGTTCGGCCATATGATGTCGGTAGATTACATTAGATCACGCAGGAGGGAAGGCTGTCATCTTATAAAGGTTGTGACCAAAAATTATGTAAATAGAAGAACAATTTATATTTTAAATTTAATTTTAAAAAATCTTTACACGCGTGGAATGCGCGACATCATATGATGTCGTTCTTAAATTTGTCCTTACTTTTAACGTCATATGACGTCCCTAGATTACAGTTGATCATGCAGGAACGAAGGCTGTCTCATTATAAAGGTGGTGACTAAAAATCATGTAAATAGAACAACAATTTATATTTTTAATATAATATTAAAAAAAACCTTACACGCGTGGAATCCGCGACATCATATGATGACGTTCGGCCAGCTGCCCTTACTTTTAACGACATCATATGATGACGTTCGTCCGATAAAGGTTAATTTCACTTTACAATGGAATCCTCATTTAACATAGTATACAATATCTAGGGGTGCGGCTCCATATGCTAATGTCACATTTTATCCATTTCTAAGGTTTTCCTCAGCATTCAGATCCATTGACATTCAAAACAACATTGAACTTGTGTTTCACTGTACTGTGTTCCTTTGTATCAGTTGCACCAAATACTTATGCTCATTATTGTTACCAGGTTCATGAGAAAGATGTGATAGGGGTATCACACCATCCACATCAGAACCTTCTGTGCTCATACAGTGAGGACGGACTGCTGAGACTTTGGAAGCCATAGACAGCTTTTCGTTATTCTGTGTGTATTTCTGTGTTGGTATGTTAGTGCAGTATATACTATGGATTGCATTGAGTATATTTGTGTTCAGTTATACCACTCTGACTTACCCATACCTTCTCCCCAAAATACATTTGTCCAGTTTCTAGATATTTGATAAGTTTAAAGATTCATAAGTATATGGTCTAGGATGTGACACTGTGTAGTCTGGTAGATGGGTACTACTCTTTCTACCCTGATACTCATGACTGGACATAACGGTTTTTCACTGTAGTACCTTAAACTAAACAACACATTGAAATGATCATCGCTCCAGTCTCATGTTTGAGAGGTCCCACATTTTAAGATCAGCGTGGACACTGATGAGATGGTGGCCTTACACAGTCTCTCCAGAAAGCACTGGGATAATACGTTAAAATAATCTATGTTTATTTCCATGCCCTTCCCAGCTGAATTATAGTGTTTGACATTAAAAATCTGTATTGCTGAAAAAGCTTCTTGAAATATGCTGCAATACTACATCAACTAAGTAGTTTTAGTTCACGTGTATGTATGAACCTAGAAATGTTAATACTTTGACACCAGTGCACAAATAAAGCATGTTCCAATGACATCATTGTGTTTTGTTCAGAAGACCACATAATAACCACCTACAATTAGAGCCAAGTGCTCAAACATTGTATTGCATCTTCCCTGTATTATAATATTTTATGCATTAGCCATTTAGTTCAATGAAGCGACTTGAACAGATGGGATTTATACTCACCATGTCTTTTCAAAACTTGTTTGCTGTTATCACTGACTCTGGTCAGCATGGTAATGAGCCTTCAGTTTCACAACTTGGGGAATCTTTCCCCTGCACTTCTCTGGTAAGGAAGCAGCAGTGTTGCTTCAGTAACTTGAGTTGCCCAATTTTGCTCATATTGGACGGTTTACTATGCAGTGCAAAAGTATGTCCACTGTGCCTTTAGATTGCAAGTTTTATAATAAACAGCGGAGAGCAAACCTCCTGTTGACAAAGTATGTTTGTGTTGTAATTCATTACTTTCAAAATATCATATGAAACAAATCTCCCCATTTTTCGTCATTATCATTCCAAATCATTTCACCAAATGTACCAGTATTTCCTCTGGTATTATCATTCATTCTTCCATCAACATCTCCCATTAGTACTGTAGCGTGTTTCGTGTGTCACGCTACAAATAAGTTCACGCCGTTGTCCCAATATAGCGGATTTATTTCCTTCGCTCGTTTACACACACTGTACAATCATTTACACTTGCAATGTTACAGTCACCGCTTACAACAACTCGGCGATGCTGGACTATCTCCTCTGGCGGTTATCCCCAGACTGACTTCTTAGATGGCTACTCCGAGTCTTTCTTCTCCGAAGGCTGATCCGAGACTGAAGGCTTCGTGTCGAAGCTGGGCTATTTATAACCTTGGCCGCTGTTAGGCAACGAACCCTCTGTTATAACCATGGAGACTCCTGTTAGAACTACAATGGAGCAATTGTTGTCTCCTCTGTAACGGTTTGTTCTAGCGTTTCCATAGCAGTGACTCTTCTGGATTGCAAACACGTTACATTGCTCCCTTCTAAAGGTTGTTCGTCCCCGAACAGCCTAAAGGTTCTCCCTCGGTTTTGATTATGCGGTGTTTTGCTAGCAACTTCTGCGTTCGGCCTTGGTGTCCTTCGTGAGTCTTGTTGCGCTGTTCCTCTTACCGCATCCGCCCCTCTCTTCAGTTGTGCTCGTCCCGAGCACCCACAAGGTCCAGAGTTTGTCGGTCGCCTTGTTTGACATTCATTCGTTCTCCATTCATTCTTGTTGGGGAGGCCGGTACTTCTATGTTACCGGTTCCTCCCATAAGGGCCGTTTCCCTTTTTCCATTTCGGAGGGGGTTGGCCCCTCCACTTTTTCCAACTTTTTTCTTGTCGTAGGCCGACGGGAGATCCGGCTATACGCTTCTTGATCATTAGTCCCGTCGTCTTCCTGTATGTCCTGGGGATTTTTCTATGGGGCTCTATTCCTATTCCCCTTATTCTATTGCGGTTGCCCCTGTTGTCTCTTCCGGGCATGTATCCTCTCGCGTTTCCTCCCGGTATGTTGTCCCTTACCCAGTTCTTTCTGGGGATCCTGTTACGCCGTGCTACTCTGACACGGAAGGTCGTCCCCTCGCTGGCGAATCCCAACCTCTCGTGGGGTCCACACTTTTTCTGGGTGGTGTTCCTGAGGATGTCTGTCTTGAGGTTTTCCACATTCGCCCGGCGTATCGTTCTTCTGTGGTCGACGGCCAATTTCTTCCGCTGGCACCCGAAGGTTCCCTGGGGAGTTTTCTTCTTAAAGTCTTTTCTCCAATGTCGTGCCACTGTCGTGCGACGGGATGTCTTTCTGCGGTTTCCTTTCTGCCGTGTCGCCTCCACCCAGCGGCTAGTTCCTCTGTTTGTGACAGCCAACTTCTTCTGGCNGCTGTTATCACTGACTCTGGTCAGCATGGTAATGAGCCTTCAGTTTCACAACTTGGGGAATCTTTCCCCTGCACTTCTCTGGTAAGGAAGCAGCAGTGTTGCTTCAGTAACTTGAGTTGCCCAATTTTGCTCATATTGGACGGTTTACTATGCAGTGCAAAAGTATGTCCACTGTGCCTTTAGATTGCAAGTTTTATAATAAACAGCGGAGAGCAAACCTCCTGTTGACAAAGTATGTTTGTGTTGTAATTCATTACTTTCAAAATATCATATGAAACAAATCTCCCCATTTTTCGTCATTATCATTCCAAATCATTTCACCAAATGTACCAGTATTTCCTCTGGTATTATCATTCATTCTTCCATCAACATCTCCCATTAGTACTGTAGCGTGTTTCGTGTGTCACGCTACAAATAAGTTCACGCCGTTGTCCCAATATAGCGGATTTATTTCCTTCGCTCGTTTACACACACTGTACAATCATTTACACTTGCAGTGTTACAATCACTCGGCGATGCTGGGCTATCTCCTCTGGCGGTTATCCCCAGACTGACTTCTTAGATGGCTACTCCGAGTCTTTCTTCTCCGAAGGCTGATCCGAGACTGAAGGCTTCGTGTCGAAGCTGGGCTATTTATAACCTTGGCCGCTGTTAGGCAACGAACCCTCTGTTATAACCATGGAGACTCCTGTTAGAACTACAATGGAGCAATTGTTGTCTCCTCTGTAATGGTCTATTCTAGCGTTTCCATAGCAGTGACTCTTCTGGATTGCAAACACGTTACAGTACTAATGTATGTGAAGTATTTATTGTACGTAGCTGATTCCAAAAGTAAGGTATCCAAAGCGCTGGGTAATTTTTCGTGCTGCTGTTGGCAACCCTGTTGCATTCGTTACTTCCCCCACTCCCCCCAATACCACCAAACATGCGCGCACATAGCTAGGACGCTCAGTCTTGGCACGGTTGCCGTTAGAAATGGAGCTCCCGATAACTAAAACCGCGAAGTGTGAGATTCGCGCAGTTATTCGGTTTTTGAACGCAAAAGGGACTAAACCAATTGAAATTCATCGTCAGTTGGTGGAAGTGTATGGCGAGTCGTGCATGGACATAAAGAACATCCGCAAGTGGTGTAGGGAGTTTGAATCTGGTCGTACTGCAATACACGACGAAAAAAGAACTGGGAGACCGTCAATTTCTGACGAGACAGTCGCGAAGATTGAGCGAGTCATGCATCAGGATAGGCGCATCACACTCAATGATCTCTGCATTTCGGTTCCCGAGGTTTCCCGAACCACCATTTATCGGGTTTTGGCAGAGAAGTTGAATTATCGGAAGGTGTGTGCAAGATGGGTCCTGCGAATGCTCACGGAAGACCACAAACGGCAGAGAGTTGACTCTTCCCGTGAATTTCTTCGCCGCTATGCTGACAAAAAGGACAACTTCTTGAATTCAATTGTCACAGGCGACGAAACCTGGGCGTACCACTTCACACCTGAGACAAAACAACAATCACGTCAGTGGCGGCATTCCTCTTCGCCTAAGCCTCGAAAATTCAAGCAAACACAGTCTGCCGGTAAAGTCATGGCAACTGTGTTTTGGGATCGAAACGGGGTATTGTTGGTTGACTTTATGGAAACTGGGACCACAATAAACGCTGAGAGATATTGTGAGACACTGAGAAAACTCAGGCGGGCGATTCAGAACCGGAGAAGAGGGATGTTGAGCAAGGGCGTAAGCATTCTCCACGATAACGCTCGCCCCCATGCTGCCCGACAAACCGTCGCTCAACTGCAACAGTTTGGATGGAACATCATCACCCATCCACCCTATAGTCCGGACTTGGCGCCCAGTGACTACCATCTCTTTCCAAAGTTGAAAGAACATTTGTCTGGAAAGCGCTTCAACAACGACGATGAGGTGAAAGCTGAGGTTCGAAGTTTCCTGAACAGCATGGAGGTGAACTGGTATGACATGGGCATACAAAAACTGCCACTGCGCCTACAAAAATGCATCGACCGTAATGGTGATTATGTAGAGAAATGAGTACATGTTCAAGATTCAACTGATGTATCCAAAATTGAAAATAAATGTTTATTTTATATTTTCAAACATAGGAGACCTTACTTTTGGAATTACCCTCGTACTATATTGTGACATAATGGCTGGAAGCCAGGAGAAATTGTCTGCTGCTAGGTAACAGCTAAATAAACAAGCAATGTTAGGTAATGAATAAACACACATTAACAGAGGAATTCTTCAAAGTGGTGTTTTCTGTTAGTTCCACCCCAAGGCTGTATAAGAAGGACCAACAGTTGGTGAATGCACTTCATAAGCTGTGGGTAAGTGGTTGGCTGTGAAGACCCTCCTTCTTTAGCAGCCATAACTTAGCAATGCATATTGAAGGCTGCAGCAGACTGAGAGAAAAGTCTTAGTGTTTGCAGTAGTAGTGACTTGTGAAGTGTTATAATCATCTGTTGTCACATTCAGTGAGTGTAATTGCCAGTCTAGTCACTATTGCATGACAGTAAGTTAACCTTTAAGTGCCGAAGTTCCCCGTTTGTGCCAGTCATTAGTGAGGTCGTCATGGCCAAAGTACCCCGTTTTGGCCAGTCAGGCATTTAAACTCCGCTAGTGGAAGCGGGCGCACATGCTGCTAGTATAAGCGCATGCACAGTCCTGAATATTTATTTTTAAATATAGTAATTACCAGACCGACTTGAATAAAATCCTAATAGAGAAATAAAAATGATACCTAAGTGAACAACAACAAAAAGATTATATGTATGAGTTACGCCGAACCTCATCCATGAGCCAGTAATTTTATTGCAGATTCTGCAGATAAATATGTAAAAATATATAGTAAAATATATGTACATACATTTTTGTTGTTATCTGCATGATGTATATATAGGCTCCACCCCCTGCATCATCTAACTAAATCTCAGCTTTGTGTGATATTCTTTGAAGCACCCGAGAATGCACAGGCCCACGTCACATTTCTCGCACTTTGTGTGTATTCTTCTCCTCTTCCCACGTGCAGAACAGACGTGGCAGTTCAGTCTCTTGTCTGAATGGTTTGGCCAATGTTGTCGATTGGCCTCCTCTAGGCGATATATTGTAGATGAAAGAGCAGGAGGTCAACCTAA